TCCATCAAAGATACTAAATTGCATGATGTTTATTTACAGAATAAACTGTAAAAAATTATAGGTTTATACATTTTATTCAAAAAAGTCAATATAGAGACCGAGCTATGAGGATGAAATTGAATGATCTTCAAGTTTGGTTGACCTCCAAACCTTGGATTTCAATCTTTATTATTTCACCGTAATAGTCCCACTCCTTTAATCCAGTGAGGTATTGCTTCACTAATCACAATTAAAATGTTAAACTAAGAAATTCAGACAAAACCTTTTCTACAGGATATCTGATACTTTGATTTAGCATTAATTAATAACATGGAAATGAGTCTTCCTTCTCTTACTTCGATTGGTAAGTGCCAAAGAGCACAAGGACTTAATACGAACGAGGCAAAAGTAAGCCCTCACGAATAAGAGATAGGAAAAAAAGGAAATGGCCTGGTAATTAGTCGTGAAGTATTTGTCAAAAAAATACCATCTTGTATAGCAGTCGGCTAAACAATGAATTAAAGAAAAAATCTGGGCTTGGCTAGTCTGCAAGTATCTAGAAGAAGAGCAAGAAAGATCCGATAATGATCAACCACATCCTTATGAACTAACCCTTTCTGCCGCTTAAGAATCGAAAGGGTAGGCATAGGACTGACTGATTGTCTGCCCAAAAATAAACGATAATTCAAAGTAAGACAAGTCGGACGTCTTTGATCCTGTCCACTCAATTGGATTGATGGGCTCCAGAGTCTTGCAGAAATAGATTCACCAGTTTCCAAAGCCTGTTTTGGCGCCTGCAGACAAAGTGCCATGATTGGTGCCTTATTATCTTCGGGCCGAAATAGTGAACGATCAACGGATGGTAGCTGGATGAGGTTCCAGTGAACGTCAGACCAGTCATTTTGATCAGCTATCCAAGCGCAATCGGTTTGTCTGGAGGCGAACGAAGAAAATCGACAGCTTAGTTTGTCGAAATCTGGCCTAGGGGGTGAGCAGAAGACTTTTCGATGAAAGGGGAATGGAGCAGAACAAGACGAAGAGAAAGGAGGCAGCTTCAACTAATAGTTAAAGGGGAAATTGCCAAGCAAACCTCTGCAAAACTGAAAAGTAGTACAAGAGATCAGAGTCTTAGAAAATATTATCTTAATGTGGAAGATTGAATAATGTGAGTAATAATAAAGCCATTTTAAGCAGATCAAACGGAAAAACATGATATGCATGGAATGTTAAAGAGAAATGAATGCAGATATGGAAGAAGAAATGTTGACTCAATTGTACAGTTGATTGCTTAACATTTGATGCTCATTAGACATTTTCTAAATATTAAGGTATTTATATTAAAGAAAAGCATTTACAAAAAGTAGTCCACCCTGAATGAGAATACCTTTCTGGAAGCATGTCTAAGTGAAATTCAATGTAACAGTCCTACATAATCATCTTAGTGAATTTTTTGTCAGCCTTCCATCAGTACAATGAGCTTCTGGATTTAAAAAACCATACGTTTTTATAATCTCGTGAAGGAGATAGTTAAATAAAATAAAACGAATGGCAAGGAAGGATGAAATGCTCGAAAGATAGGAGAAGTAAAAGAAAGGACAAGTAATAGGTGACTCAGATAAATGCAAAGAGAGATAGGCGCTATGATGGTTACCCCTCGTTTCGTTGAAGCAAAGCCAAACCAACACCAGCAGAGTTGCGGTCGGACCGATCCCTAAGGCCAAGCCGGATCTGATAGAAGAAATGGATGCATTTGAAGCCGATCTTTGAGGGGATAAGCGGGCTCCATAGACGAGAGATAAGTGGACCATGTGTTTGGGTAACTCCAATAGCATTAGACCATCCTCTGGTCGCCCCATCCCCAGGCTTCACCTCTTCGTTGAACCAGGTGAAGCCATTGGTTGCATCATTGCGGTGCTCTGGTTGATGAGCCAAAAAGCAAGCCCTGAAGGACTCTTCCTTAGTGGGATTGTTGTTGCTTGAATCGTTTAGAAGAGACCAGCGATGTTGCCAATTGCTCTGATCATTGACCCAGCCACACCAACCTTCTGCGAACGAGCAGTAGTGTTTTCTGAGATGTCCGACTTTCAATGGATAAGTACGCGTACGTACACATACATACAAAAATGTACAGACGAAAACTCTTTCTGTGATTACGAACATATGAAGATAGACAAAATTAGTTGGCAAGCCAGCCTTCGAAATTGCTAAATTTAAGAATAAAGACTTCAGAATTGATAATGTTAAGAATAAGAGCATAGACAAGCATGTACTTGTAGAGATGAATGCGCGGGATAAAATAGAAAGCACGAATTCAGAGAAAAATGTGATCACGTATATCTATGGAATATGTTGTGTTTGTAAAAAGTTGGAGACAATTTTTTTCAATTAAATCAACAAGAGCTCACGGAAGAAGTGATATTGAGAAGCCACAATGGTAACTTAAGAAAGATGCCCAAATACTACTGATCGTAAGAATTATAAAGAGCAATCCAAAAGTTTAGTTTGAGAAACAATATAATGGATACCGTCAGGCAATTTAGTTACAAAGGCTCTTGAGCCAAAGACCTCGAAAGATTAAGCATTTTCAAAAAAAGTATCAGCCTGGCATACAATTCTTAAATTAAAACATTCACTTTCTTATCTAAAGATGAATATCTTTGAATAAAGCCCAAAATTTGCAGGAAGCCATAAAGCAACCATTCAAAAGCTAGTAAAAAGGCTACCCAAAATTCTCGTTGAAGCCCGATTAAAATTTAATGGTTAGGCACAAAGAAGAAAATCGAATCAGTCTAGGCGGCATTAAAAGCAAGTATTATTAGCCAAAAATTTGCAGATTACGAAATTTAAAAAGAAAACCCTTAATTGCCCAAGAAAGGTATGATAGGGGTAACACCATAAGAGGGAAGGATAATCACCATATTAGGAGGGCCAATTAAAGCAGAA